GCGAGGTGTGCGTGACGCATGCGGGCGGTGGCAGTGGGGCCTTCGGTGAAGCTCCCTTTGGGGCCACGAAACTTGTGAGGGGCGTGCCGAATTGTGCGTGCGTGACGCATGCGGGCGGTGGCACTGGGGCCTTCGGTGGAGTTCCCTATGGGGCCACGAAACGTGCGCGAGGGGTGTGCCGAATTGGGCGTGCGTGACGCATGCGGGCGGTGGCATTGGGGCCTTCGGTGGAGCGCCCTATGTATGGGGCCACGAAACGTGCGAGGGGTGTGCCGAATTGGGTGCGCGTGACGCATGCGGGCGGTGCAGGGAGGAGGGGGGAGGGGGAAGAGGAGGAGTGAGTGACGCGGGGCGCTGTCTCCTCCAAAAGAAGATCCAACACCACAGGATGGTTGGGAACAAATCGACCTTCCTATCGTCGGGCCTGTACTCTTCTTCCTCCTCGACATTCTCCTTCCTCGGTTCACCCAGTTCCCGGCCCCCCCCTGCTTGGATAGCAGGGGCCCCGTCATCGACTCGGGGATAGCCGGGGCACCCCCGCCAGCGGAGCTGGTGGGCGGTCGGCGCCGCCTGTATCGGCGGGGTAGAAGTGGAGCCGGCGACCAGCCGGAGGACTGGCGGAGGCGGGAGGGGTCGCCCCCCCGGGGGAGGGGGGTTGGCCGCGGTGGGACTGTGCCCCTTCCTTCCTCCTCTCTCCTGGCTCCTCCCTCCTCCCCCCTCTCCCTCTCCTCTTCTCTCCTCCCCCCGGGGTTCACAGTGTCGCTGCGGTCCGCTCCCCCGCTGAAGCTGGGCTGGAGGAGACCGCGGCGGCGCGCGGAGCGCGCTGCCGCGGCGGGTGAGCGCGGAGCGCCCACACCGTGCTGGAGCGCGGCCAGTGCTCGGCGCCAGAATCGCAGTGGTTGATTTTTCAGCTGCGAAGTTTTTTGGGGCCCTTTCGCCCAGGGAAAGCCTGGAATAGGAGTGGCTTCATTTTCGACGGCTGTTCTCTCGTGCTCATGGCACAGTTGAACGGCAAGCAGAATCCAAGCAAAATCACCCAGTTCCCGACCGGCAATCTTATCATCGGCCTCCCCCTGCCCCTCCCCCATTCCCCTTCCCCCCCCCGCCGCGTCCCCCCCCCGTTTGTGTCGGTTTGAGCCTTTTCCGACTCCGATTGTGATTCCCCCCGTTCTCTGCATCCTCCCCCATCCCACCACACCCTTTCTCGGCCGCCTATCAGTCCTCCTCCTCCTCCTCCTCCTCCTCCTCCTCCTCCTCCTCCTCCTCCTCCTCCTCCTCCTCCTTCTCTCCCCTCCTCTTTCTACTCCTCCCGCCTGGGCGTCGCTTACTGGAGAAGCGATACATGGGAGCATGAAGAAACGTACACCTTTCGGGCACTTATCATACCCCAGGGGACCCCTAAGGTGCACGAAAGGGCCCCCAGGATGCACAAAAGATGCGCCTTTGTTGAACCCCCTCTGTGTATCGCTCCCCCCACGTCGTTCAAAGCACGCGGCAATGCCGGACGAAGCCGGAGCAATGGACGTCCAGACTGCTTGGGCCACTTCGAGCATGCATGTGTCCCTGGCCCGCCCAAGGGAAGAGAAACGAACCATGCATCGCCGTGGATCGCTGCAGCTGTATGCTCTTCCCTGGCTCGCTGAACGGAAGAGAAAAGCATGTGGTGAGTTCCAGAAGCCCTGAAGCCAAAAGCGTTGCCATCTCTTGGGGGGCCGCCTTTTGCTTCCGCCGCCCGTCCGCCGCCCTTCCGCCAGCTACCGCCGTGGGGGGGAGGCGGCCTCGTCTTGCTTCCGCCGCCCTTCCGCCCAGCGTCGCAGCAGCGGGGGGGGAGGAGGAGGAGGAGGAGGAGGAGGAGGAGGAGGAGGAGGAGGAGGAGGAGGAGGAGGAGGAGGAGGAGACGACCACTCCTTCGACCCTCGAAGGCGAGACCTTCTCTGGAACGCCTCATGTGTCGCCCCTCCACTGCGCAACGCCCCACCCTCCTCCACGCCCGCGGCCGTCGGCCGTCGGCCGCGGCCTCCCCCCCAACCCCTGCCGCCCGTGAGGTGCGGCGGCGTCCTGGGCAGTCGCAGCAGTTTTTGCCGACCATGAAGAAGTCGTACCTCGGACGGGCCCCCCCTTCTCGCCCTCCCTCTCCTCCTCCCTCTACTTCGAACCCCTCCTGCTGATCCTCTGCGTCCTCCTCATCCTCCTCCTCCTCGCCCTCCTGCTCCTCCTCCTCCTCCTCCGCCTCCTCCTCCTCCCTCTGTTTCCTCCTCCAGATCCTGTTCCTCCTCCTCCTCCTCCTCCTCCTTCTCCTGCTGCCCCTCCTGCTCCTTGTCCCCCTTCAACTAATCCTCCTCCTCCTCCTCCTCCTCCTCCTCCTCCTCCTCCTTCTCCTCCTCCTCCTCCTCCTCCTCCTCCTCCTCCTCCTCCTTCTCCTCATCCTCCTCGTCACTCCCATCTGGTTCTACTCCTCCTGCTCCTACTCCCTCCTCCACCTCCCCCTCGTCTCCCCCACCCCCTCTCGTCCTCCCCCTCCTCCTCCTCCCTCCTCCTCCTCTTCCTCCTCCTCCTCCTTCATCATCATCATCATCATCCTCCTCCTCCTCCTCCTCCTCCCCTCCTCCTCATCATCATCATCATCATCATCATCATCATCATCACCATCACCATCACCATCACCATCGTCGTCATCATCATCGTCGTCGTCATCATCGTCAACACCCACCCCCCATCACCCTCTCCCCATCCTCATCCTCATCCTCATCCATCCTCATCCATCCTCATCCTCATCCTCATCCTCATCCTCATCATCATCATCATCAGCATCATCATCATCATCACCGCCACCATCACCACCACCACCCCCTCTACCACCACCACCACCACCATCATCATCATCATCGTCATCAGCATTATCATCATCATCAGCAGCATTATCATCATCATCGTCATCATCATCAGCATCAGCATCAATAACGAGAGAGCGTGATCCATCGCCGCTTTACTATGGAAAATTCCCCCCCCTCTTCTTCCAGAACCTGGGGGTTCCCCCCCCTCCGAAAATCCCCACCCTCTCCCTGCTGGAACCCCCCACCCCTTCCCCCAGCAAAACAGCCCCCCTCCCCTACCCCCCCCCCCCTCCCTCCAGAAAACCGGGGGGGGTCACTACCGGTTCGAGACCCCCCCCACTCGGAAAACCGGAGGGGGGTCACTACCAGTTCGAACCCCTCCCCCCCCCAGAAAACCAGAGGAATGTCACTACCGGCTCGTACGACCCCCCCCCCCTCCAGAAAACCGAGGGGGTCACTACCGGTTTCGAACCCCCCCCCGCCTCGAAACTGGGGGGGGGCACTACCGGTTCGAACCCCTCCCCCCCCCCTCCTCCTCGAAAACCGGGGGGGGTCACTACCGGTTCGAAACCCCCCCCCGCCCCTCCCCCTCGAAAACCGGAGGGGGTCACTACCCGTTCGAACCCCTCTCCCCCTCACCGCCAGCAAACGACTCCCGGTCCCTACCACCGTCCGCACCACATCCCCCACTGCTGTTCCCAGCACCACTGTCCTCACTACCACTGTCCCCACTGGTTCCACCACCGTCCCTACTGTCCTCACCAGTGCCCCCACCACTGTCGCACTGTCCCCACTGTCCCCACCACTGTTCCGACCACGGTTCCACTCTCCCCACTTTCTCCACGGCCCCAACCACTGCCCCGACTGTCCCCACTGTCCCCGCTGTTCCCACTGTCCCACTGTCTCCTCCGCTGTCCCACTGAGCTGTCCCACTGTTCCCACCACTGTCCCCACTGTCCCCACCACTGTCCCCACTGTACCTCTGCCCCATTGTCACACCGCCGTCCACGCCACCGCCCTCACCATTGTCCCCACCACCACTGTACCCTCCACTGTCCCACTGTTTCCACCACATTCCCACTGTCCCCACACCGCTGTCCCCACCACCACCGTCCCCACCACTGTCCCACTGTCCCCACTGTTCCCACCCTTGTCCCCGCTGTCCCCATCAGTGCCCCCACCAGTATGTCAACGTCCCCATTCTCCCCACCGTTGTCCCACCACGGTCCCACTCTCCCCACTTTCCCCACCACTGTCCCACTGTCCCCACTGTGCCCACTACTGTCCCACTGTCCCCGCCGCTCCCACTGTGCTGTCCCAGCGTCCCCACTGTCCCCATCACTGTCCCACTGTCCCCACTGTCCCCACCACTTTCCCCACTGTGCCACTGTCCCACCACTGTCCTCACCACCGCCTTCACCACTGTCCCCACCACTACCGTCCCCACCACTGTCCCACTGTTCCCACCGCTGTCCCGCTGTCCCCTCACCACTGTCCCCACCACCACCGTCCCCACCACTGTCCGCACCCCCCCCCCCCGGTTTTCGAGGGGGGGGGGTTCGAACCGGTAGTGACCTCCCCCCTTTTCATGATGGACTGGGGGGGGGAGGGGTTCACTGGTAGTGACCCCCCCCGGTTTTCCGGCCGGAGACGGGGGGGGGCTTCGAACTGGTAGTGACCCCCCCGGTTTTCCGCCAGCAGCGGTAGAACACATTCTGTTGCATCATCATAATGAGCACAATAATCATCATCATCATCATCATCATCATCATCATCATCATCATCATCATCATCATCATCATCATCATCATCATCATCATCATCATCATCATCATCATCATCATCATCATCCGCATCAGCATCAGCATCAGCATCGTCATAATCAGCATCACAATCATCATCATCAGCATCATCAGCATGAGCATCAGCATAATCATAATCAGCAGCAGCATCATCATCAGCATCATCAGCATTATCATTATCATCCTCAGCATCAGCATCAGCCTCATCATCATCAGCATCAGCATCAGCATCATCGTCAGCATCATAATCCTCATCCTCATCCTCATCCTCATCATCATCATCATCATCAGCATCACCCTCATAATCAGCATCACCATCATCATCACCACCACCATCACCATCATCATCGACCCAATCAGCACCATCACAACAATCACCATCATCATCGTCATCAGCAGCAACAGCATCATCATCATCAGCAGCAACAGCAGCAGCATCATCATCATCCTCATCATCCTCATCATTATCATCATCATCCTCATCATCCTCATCAGCAGCAGCATCATCACCGTCATCCTTCTCCTCCTTCTCCCCCTCCTCCTTCCCCCCCCATGCCCCTCCACCGCCTTGACCTCCTCTCCGTCCTTAGCCCCGTCCCGCCCCCTCCCTCCACACACACACACACACACACACACACACACGCACACGCACACGCACACACACACACACACACACACACACACACACACACACACACACACGCACACACCACGCACACCTGTTCGCGCTGTCGCGGCCTCGCGCGCGGCGACGCGGCGGAGCAGGTCGAGCAGGCGGAGCGAGCGAGCGCGCGCGCGCGCGGTCGAGCCCTCGGGCCCGGGGACCACTTCGGAACGACCGCGCACAGCACGCATACACACACGACACACACACACACGAACACACGCACACACACACACACGACACACACACACACACGACACACACACACACGACACACACACACACACACGACACACACACACACACACGCACACAAGCCACAGGCCCACCCTTCATTAGGCTTCTTTCCCTCGCCCTCCCCATCCAGCATAACCGACCTCCGCTCCTCAAGAGAGTCGCGGGTAACACGCCCCTCTTCTCGGCAAGAGGAAGCGGCTGACACACACACACACACAAAAAAAAAAATAGAAGCCGCGGCTCGGGCGGCCGACCGGAACCTCGCGTGCCCCCCTGCGCGAAGGCGGCAAACCGTGGCCGAGAGATGGGAAGAAACTGGAGCGCTGCAGAGCCTTGAGCAGGGACCGACCGTCCCGGCATTCCTATAGTCATACCACGAATTGTTCTTAGAACCCCAAAATGTTCTAAGAACAGAAACAGTTCTCTTAGAACATAAGCCCGATGTGTTAAAACAAAACAATCCCAGCCAGAAATGTTCTAAGAACATTTCGTGGGAACCACAAAAAGGTCTTAGAACATTGTTTGGTGGGGCTATAGGCGAGCCGGGACGCTTCGCCACTGCTTGATACGCCCCCAGGAGTGACCCCCGCCGTGGCAGGAAGACCCGCGCGCGGTGCTCCCCGAGCGTGCCGCCCTGGCACCACCCCTCGCTGCACCGTCCCCCCCGCCCTCCTCGCGGCACCTCACGGCCGGCCGCGGCCGCGAGGAGCGCGGGCCCCGGGCGACCGAAGGGGCGGCGAGAGAAGAGAGGGGAGGAGGAGGGGGAGGAGGAGGAGGAGGAGGAGGGCAGGGAGGAGAGGAGAGGAGGAGGAGAAGGAAGGAGGAGGAGGAGGCGGAGAAGGAGGAGGAGGAGAAGAGGAGGAGGAGAGAGGAGGAAGAGAAGCAGGAGGAAGAGGGAGGAGGAGGAGGAGGAAGGAGGAGGAGGGAGGAGGAGAAGGAGGGAGGAAGGAGGAGGAGGGAGGAGGAGAGGGGGAGGGGGAGGGGGAGAGGAGGAGGGAGGAGGAGGAGGAGGAGGAGGAGGAGGAGGAGGAGGAGAGGAGGAGGAGGGCGGAGGAAGGAGGGGGGAGAAGATGAGGATGAGGGGGAGGGGGATGAAGAGGGGAGGAGGAAGAGGAGAGAGGAGCAGGAGGAGGAGGAGGAGGGGGAGAGGCAAGGAGGAGGGGCATGTGGAGAAGGGTGGTAGAGGAGCACGGAGGATGGAGGAGGAGGAGGGAGGAGGAGGAAGAAGAGGAGGAGGAGGAGGAAGGAGAAGGGGGGGAAAAAGGAGGGAAGGAGGAGGAGGAGGGAGGAGGAGAGTGAGGAGGAGAGGGGAGTCGGGGGGGGGGGGGGGGGGGGGGGGGGGGGGGGTCACTGACCTTGGGTCGGCGACGCATCGCCGCGGCGAAGCCTCGCGTTCCCGAGAGCGGGGCATCGGCGTCGGCCGGGCATGCGGATACCACGTGCGTGCATCGCCCCTTCGGGGGGCGACGCGCGCACCGAGAAGTCTGCTAGCGTATGCGTGGTGGCGGGCGCTTTCTGGCCACACCGCTCGGGAGATCATACACGACAGGATGGGTGTGCTACCTGCTCGGGTCGGACCCGCGCGTCCACGGAGGACACATGGTACTAGTATGTCCCTGTGCGTCCGAGGATGAGGCAACCGAGCCCCGACTGACGACGCATGGTCGATTTCGGGGCCGACCCCCCCCCAATTCCAGGGCCAAGCCCCCCACTGGTCGCCGCCCCTACTCCGGGACGGCCAGCGAGGAGGCCCCCACATCTTCGACATCAGCAGGCAAGCGTAGAGCCCCGATGGAAGGACGGGGGGCTACGAGAGGAAGCAACTGCAGAATCCGAAACGTTCGGAGGCAGCCATGGATTCCTCGGATCGGCGCTGAAACTCCCCTCCCCAGGATGGCGGAGCGCGCCAGGGGCGCCACTGGAGGCGCCGCCAGTGGGCGGCCAGCGCCGATCCGAGCTCGGCGCAGTCCTCCGACAGCTCCCTGCTGTCGAAACCTGTTCGCTGGCTCAGCGCGTCGCGGCGGCCCCGGCGACACGCGGCGCCCTGCGAGCGGACAGCAAAGCGCGCTGCTCCGCCCAGCGGGGTGGGAGGCTGGGAGACGGCTCGGGACGCTGGCGCTCGGAAGCGCGGGCGCGGATGCCGCACCGCGCCGAGGTGCACAGGGCCCGACCCGGCGGCGCGCCACGCCAGTCCAAAGCTCCTGGCCTCGCTCTGCCCCCCTCGAGAGGACGCCGCCTGGAGGTCGGGCGCACCCGCCCGAGGGGGCGATCGCCCCCCCCCCCCCCCCCCCCAACCCGAGGGCCGCACTGTTACCTGCGGCTGCCGGAGCCGGAGTTGCCCCAAGATAGAGGCAACAAAATCCCCCCCACAATAACCACCCGGACACGCGAAGTCGTTTAGTAAGCGCGTCCAGAGAAGGAATCAAACAGAGCAGGGCTGTCTAGTCAACGCCCAGGGCCGTTCAGTAAAGGCCAATTGTCCGGCCCCGGTGGTTTTTCCTCCCTTGACAGGAGGCGCTCAGCTGGCCCTCCACAGCAGACCCTCCAGGAGGCCCCTCAGACCTCGGAGGCCGAAAGCAAAAACGAACAAGCGCACTTTTTTTGTTGGTCGGCGGGTCGAGAGCGGGCCTCTTCCGGTTACGGTTAAGAGCTAGGCGGGGCGCGCGAAGCACTAGTTGGGGAGACAGGGCGCGGGCGGGCGGGGCCTCCGGCGGCGGGAGGCTGCGGAGTACAGGCGGTGCCGAAGAGCTTGCACAGGAAAAGGTACGCCTTGGACAGGAGCCGGGGGCGAAGTCCGGGAGGGAGAGCGGAACGAACGAGCGCACACGCTGCGTAGGTCTGCCTCGCTCCTTCCCCCCCCCCCCCCCCCCCAAGGGGCGCAGCCCGGAGAGCGGGCGCGCACGCCCGCGGGACTCGGGGCAGGGGATCGACTACAGGATTGCTGTGCCCGAAAACTGATTTTCTCGCCGAGCCAGGCGTAGACTGTTCGTGGACCGGCGAAAGCTCTACAGTCGAGGCGTTGACCTAAGGAACCCTAAATCCGCCGGCCCCCTTGTGGGGCCACCAGGCTGCGAGGCACGGGTTCGCAGTTTCCAGTACCAGTTGTAGCTTGTAGTTTCCAGTGTTACACTTCTGCTTCTTGCTGGTAACTGTTAACTAGTTGACTTCTTGCTGGTTACTGTAACTAGGTTGAAATTGACCGCGACGAAAAGGGGGGGGGGGGGGGGGAGGCCCAAACGGGATTTTTAGCGTCTCCTGGGCGCGTTGTCTGAATTGCTGGGGGGGCTCGAAATCAACACCCCTCACGCAGATCCGCGGGGTCAGGGTCCAAAAACACAAAGGATTTGCCACATTTCTGAAATTCGGTGCCACCCCTCACGCAGATCCGCGGGGTCAGGGTCCAAAACACAGGGATTTGCCACATTTCTGAAATTCGGTGCCACCCCTCACGCAGATCCGCGGGGTCAGGGTCCAAAAACACATGGGATTTGCCACATTTCTAAAATTCGGTGCCACCCCTCACGCAGATCCGCGGAGTCAGGGTCCAAAAACACAAGGGATTTGCCACATTTCTGAAATTCGGTGCCACCCCTCACGCAGATCCGCGGGGTCAGGGTCCAAAAACACATGGGATTTGCCACATTTCTGAAATTCGGTGCCACCCCTCACGCAGATCCGCGGGGTCAGGGTCCAAAAACACAGGGGATTTGCCACATTTCTGAAATTCGGTGCCACCCCTCACGCAGATCCGCGGGGTCAGGGTCCAAAAACACATGGGATTTGCCACATTTCTGAAATTCGGCGCCACCCCTTACGCAGATCCGCGGGGTCAGGGTCCAAAAACACAGGGATTTGCAACATTTCTGAAATTCGGTGCCACCCTTCACGCACATCCATCGCAAGGCGTGGTAACCCAAACTGCGAGAACTCCCTCGGCCCTTTAATCGCAAGGTGTGGTAACCAAGCCCGTAAACCATACACGTCTTACCAATCGCCAGGTGTGGTAACCCCTCTTGTGATCAGTTGGTTTTGCTGATTGCGAATCGGCTTCGCATGAAGTTTCGATACTGCTTCACGACAGCGCCAAGACCTCATGACTTAGCTCTTCCATGGCCCATTCTCCGAGAGAGGGGGCCGGCGGCAGGGGGCGAAGCCCTTACGGATAAGGAACCAGGCCCCTTTTTTCCACAAGTTAAACTTCGATTTCCCATCGAAAACATAAGGACCACCTGAGACAAGCTGTGAAACACTTCAGGAGCGCGGAGCCCCTGACCAACGAAAAGGGTTCCTTCTTCAGGGCCCCGACTGCACGCAGTTCTCGTGGCTCCGACGAACAAATCAGTTCTGAGGTGCAAACCACTTCTGTAGTCGATCCCCTGCTCGAGGGAAGGCCTGCACCCCCCCCTCCCCCCCCCAACGCCCGAGGGCCGCACTGCTGCTTGCGGCTGCCGTCGCCGTTGAAG